CTGCTATTTCTGTGATTTATCAGAACTCCCCCCGTTTACCCATCCTGACACCCAGTGGTGTTAAAGCCAAAACTGTAGCCGGGGGGTGGGGCGCCCCCCCTCCACTCAACGCCACCGTCTGTCAATCTGTCAGTGGGTCTGTCTTGTTTCAGCTCCCCCCGTGGTTTACTCACCCAGCCCAGCTCCTCATAGGGATTTATAGGGACAGAGAGAGGCCCCCACGGACTTCTGGGTAATCACTGTAGGGGCTGTCAGCTGTCCAGAAAAAACATGAAACACAGTCGTGTGTTTGATCCGTTTCATAATTTAATTTGTAAAAGAACAACAGAATATAGTGTAGCTGGAATGTATAGATATTTTGCTTATTTATATTCTTAATCATAATTTATATTTTGCATATTAATATTCATAATGGCAAGGGAATATTGAATCATCGACGGCTCGTGATTTCGTAGTATTGTAAGGCTGGGGCCTGGATCACACAAACCTCCCTAAATATCAGTCATTTTACCAAAGGTCTCATTCTTCTTGGTCTGTTTCAAGGATGGTGAGGTTGCTTCAAAGAGCAGACATTACTCCGAATGTTCTTATGCGTGTCTCCGGAACAAAAGGACCGACCATGGTCACATTCTCAGTGGAGTATTAAAGACCTTTTTCAAACAAATTCTGCGTGAAACATAAAATTAAATCTTGCTAAAAACCAGAAAAAAGGAAAGACTAGAGTCTGTAGTGATAAAACTCAATGAGCTGTGTTGATATTGTTAGGAATTTGTGATTTTGAAATTCATTTTGACTTCAAACACCTGCAGCATAATTTTGTTTCCCTCTTCAATTGAGAAACATCTGAGACACAGAACCAGTGAAAAATAATTGATATTTAGCATGATAGTTAATGACGGAACATTGACTGCTTTTGCTGGAAAGCCACCAAATCCTCAGCTCGGAGTTGAATGATTTCATCTTCTGGCACGCCGTGCGCCTGATTGTTTTTCACTCCTGACCAGTGGCCTTCTCCTTAATGAGAGACACCCACGCTGGATAAAGTCATGAGTGGCTGACTGCTGGAGGAGTTCATGTGAATTCCTCCCCAGCTGTGATGTCTGCGCTCACATGTGAGGGGCTGTAACCCCAGCCTTGCTCTGGAACCCAACCCTTAACGCTGACCTTCACTCCCTCGGCTCGGAGACTTCGAGGAAGCGTGAGAGCTTTTCAGCCGATGACCTCACACCCCCCCCCCCCAAGCCCCTCAACACCCCCCCCGCACCCTAGGTGCTCGGTCACTTCTCCCCTTCTTTCATGCAGATTTTTTATAATTGTCATCATCCCTCAGTCACTGAGATTTACACAAACTCTGATTAAGGGTCTTTTGTGACCTGCTCACCATTATTCTGCATTAGGACACCAAACATTCTGACCAAACATTGGATTGTTCTAGAATGTAAGTTAGAGAGTGCAGTGTCCCTCCGGAGGGCAATAGAGAGCACGCTGGCTGCCTGGCTTGTTGGCCTGGGATCTGAGTGGAAATCTCACTAGGGCAACAGATTCCTTTGCTGTAAAAGTGACCTTTGTTGTCTCCCCGGCAGAGTGGAGCGTAGAGGAGTGTGTGTAGGGGGGGAGTGGTGAGGATGGCGCTGGGGCCACGTTCAGTTGTGTTGGGGCTCCCCGTTGTACTTTCTGGGGTTAAAAACTGGACTGAGCCAAGGTGTTACACCAAAAACTGTCCATTTGATGACATGGTGGCGCCTCTGAGGTGACGCCATGTCACCCTTACCTTTGGGCCGCTGTTCCTGACTGCCGCCGTGAACTGCACTGGCAGTGCATTGCATTGGGCTTTACCCAGCTGTAGGAGGCCCCCCCCAAGCCCCCACCATTGCTGGTGCACAGCCGGAGCAGTCATCGCACAGATATGCAAGGAATGTACAGGGAGGACGGCCTCTAAGGGCCTGGGGGAGAGAGCAGAGCATGCTGGGAGGAGCTGATTTACTGCAGGCCGGGCCTGGGAGGCTCGTATCGCAGCATCACGCCACCTGAGCTGCACGGCTTCAGACCTTTTTATGACCCTGGCAAGGGGATACTAAGGCTTTTTGGGGGGAAAGGGGTGGTTTTAGGGGGACGAGGCTTCCAGATGGCCATCAGTGGACGCTTTCCCAGGATCCTGAGCTGGAGGAAGCTGTCCAGAGTCATGCCAGGATGTCTTCCTGTGGACATGATGACCTCATTTCCTCCCCCCCTGCATATCTAGGAGCATTTTCATTTGTACTGAGCACTGCTATTAAGAATGATGAGATGGCACATGCAACACATGCAAAGTGCCGCCTCTTAGCAGGACATGAAGGAGTCTGCTAAGTGTTCATGTGCACCACTGACCTTTCTGTCATGCAGCTGTAGTAGTGTTTTGTGTGTTGTAGTGGCATTTATTTTGCTGTGACGGTGTTTTGTTTGCTGGCAGTGTTTTTGTTTGCTGTAGTGGTGTTGTTTACTGTAGCAGTGTTTCGTTTGTTGTAGCAGTTTTTTGTTTACTGTAGGAAAATTTTGTTTGGCGTAGTAGTGTTTTGCTGTAGCAGTGTGTTTCATTTACTGTAACCGTGTTTTGTTTGTGGTAGCAGTGTGCTCTGCTGTATCAGTGTATGAGTATTTTGTTTGTTTGTTGTGGCGTGTTTTTCTGCAGCAGTGTTTTGTTCGCTGAAGCTCTGTGTTTCTTTTCCTGTATCCTTTTGTTTTCTGTAGTGGCATTTCTTTTTCATTTGCTCTAGCAGCATGTTTTGTTTGCTTTAGTGGTGTTTATTTTTTATTCAGTTCTTCCTTTAGCTGCTCAAGCTTTTTATTTGTCTTCCACTCAGTCTCATTATGCATGATATTCCACACAGAGTATTCAGACATGGGGCGGTTTGTGGGTGACACTTGCGTAGCCCTGCCTCATTTGCCAACAGCAACCTCCACAGGCAGCTTGTTTGTGGGAACGAGAGACCGCTGACAGCTTGGCCTACACAGATGACATTTCATATATGAAAGACAGTGATAGATCTGGCCGCGTGTGGGGCAATGGGGGGTGAAAGATAAGAGAGGTGATCGAGAGCCATTCAATCCTGAGCTTCACAGGTGGAACAGGTCGCATAGTGTCAGGGGTCAGGAAGATAATAAGACCTCGCCGTGGGATATTAACCACTGAGAAGATGAGAGTGTGTGCGGGATTATGTGGGCTGGTCATTACAGCTGGGTGCAGTGTGAGCTTGGGCAGTGTGAGCTTGGGCAGTGTAAGCTTGGGCAGGATAGGAACAGTTTTCTGTCTAGTTCTCCAACTTGGTAGTTTGGGGAGAAGCGTGCGGCTCAGTGGGATAAGGTGCAGTGCTTGTGACTGGAAGGCTGCTGGTGTAAATCCCCGGGTTGGTAGACTGAGACTGTTCGGCCCCTGAGCGATGCCCTTAACTCCCAACGGCTCCAGGGACAGTCTGAATCGCTTTGGATAAAAGTATCTGCTCGTCATCGTCATTTTTTTTGTTTGTTTCTTGAACATCGGCGTTTAAACAAACACCGTCAAGCATAAGGCTGGAGGCGTGGTCTCGAAAACCCACCCGAGACTGAACCGGATCGCTTTCGCCTTTGCGTGGCCCGCCGCCCCTGATTGGCTGCCAGGGCGAGGCCGCGTTCTCCGACTCTTACGCCGTTTGTTCCACCGGGGCTGGGGGTGGTGGGGGATTTGTCTCCTTGACCTTGTGTATGCACTACCAAACCTCGCCACTAGGAGATTCTCTGCGCCGTCTCCCCCTACCGCCAAACCAACCCCCTTTCTTGGTTAAATCTGCCGTCCCTTTAACTTGAGGGCAGGTGATTTGCGGGGGCGGAGGGGGGGGGGGGGGACAGGGAAGGACAGGCAGGGGCCAAAACGGGGGGAGGAGCAGAGAGACCAGAATAACCGGAATGGCGATGTTAGATGTGAACAGCGTGGAGGTGCAGCTGGCGAGGGAGGGCTAGCGGGGGAGGGCGACCACATGACCATCACACGGCGGCTCCTGCCCTGTAAGCTGAGCCTTGACAGAGGAACGAGTCGGAGATTTACTGCCGGCGTAAAGGCATATTCTATAAACATTGACACTCAGTGCAGCTGCTGCCGGGGTCTGTCCAGCCAGGGGCTCCTCACCGGACGCTCACTGCCGCAACCCTGTTCACCCGCTCTGTCAATGTGACCTGCACACAAAAACACCCCTGCGGCCGCCTGTTCCCCAGTGCAGGCATGCACAGCTTGCTTGCTGGCAGTTTAGCCTTGGTAAACATTGTAATTCCTCACAGCTCTAAGAACCAGATCCCGCACAATCCCCCTGTCACCTCTCATGTGCCTGTATGGTCTTTATTAAAATGAAACAGGTCTTCAGAAAAGCATCCTGAAAAGTGCTGACGAAGCAGGGGTGACACGTTTGTTGTTGATTGTGGTAGTGCGTGCCTGGTGATGGTGCAGGGTGTCCCCTGCTTCGTGCCCTGTGATGGCGCAGGGTGTCCCCTGCTTTGTGCCCTGTGTATTCTAGGATAGGCTCACGACAAGTATTTACTGGATAAGCGAGGTGGATGACAAAACTTCACAAACAAAACAGGCTTAAGTATTTAATGCCACGAGTGACTATCACTCACCATGTAGAGCAGGGCTCTTCAAATCTGGACCTTGATTCCAAATCCAGGCCGTGTTTTCAGTTCTCCCAGGTACTTAGTTTAATAATTACTGATTCTGATTGGTCAGAGGCTTCACACCTGGCTCACAGGTAAAGGAAGACTGGAAAACCAGCAGTGCTCAGACCTCAAGGACTGTGATTTGAATAATAGGGATGTAGAGTGTTGAAGTGCCAACACAAAGGTTGTGGGTTCGAATCCCATTAAGTGCACATAAATTATAACCCTTTTCTGTACTATAAGTCACTTTGACTAATAGTATGAGGTAAATGACTGAAGTAGGAATTTGATGATCAGATGTTAAGGCTGTCCAGCACAAGGCTTTCTACTGAGCTGCAAGGGAAACCAGTTTCCATTCTCCCATTTCAGGAAGGAACGAGCTCATTGCCCGATACATCAAACTACGAACGGGGAAGACCCGCACCAGGAAGCAGGTGAGGCAGCAGAGGTTTCGAGTCGGCCAATCAGAACCCCCTATAGTCAGGCGCGTGACGTCGGTTTCTCCGTTTTATGTCCCCCCATGTTGATGTCCGCAGTTACTGGATGATTTAAAGTCTAAACCCCAAAGTGCACATGCTATAGGATAGGATGTCAGGGTGGCTGTCTTTCACCTCATGCAGTCTGGCTTGTTAGAATGAGATGGACGTATTGAATGGATAAAAACTCACTGCCATGTGGAATTTAATATGACCATGGAATTTAATACAGCGCACTGTGACTTCATGCCATCGAATCGTTTGTCTTAAAATATCTCTAGGCCAGCAGTCAATCCCTGAAAACTGTCGGATAGTGAAGGGAACAATGAGGTGAATTTGTATTCTTCAAGATAATTAAAAACATTTATCTGTAAGAGTAATCAAAGTCAAAAGTTAAAGTGGCTTTATTGTCATCTATATGATGCATGGGTCATACATCGAGGTGAAGTTTAATCTCGTTGTTCATGGTGCAGCAGTAATAAATATGATATATATCTATGAGACATGTAAACATGACATACTGAGACGTGGACATAAGACAAAACAAGAAAAGTGCAGGTTAAAATACAGCTTAAAAAATATGTAATTGAATAAACAGGAATGTCCAATATGTAGATGCTGGTTTCAGTATTTAGACTCCAGTGCAGAGAGGGGAAGTGAGTCTTTTTTGTAGATTATATATCAGCGTTGTCGTGTCTCACATGTCTGACCTCCTCCAGGTCTCCAGTCACATCCAGGTTCTCGCACGGCGCAAGGCCAGGGAGATCCAGGTGAAGCTAAAGGTACGACGCTCTCCCATCCTCACTGGGTCACCAAGACACTGAGGAATAACCCTAATTACAGCCTTCACCCAGAACTGACCCTCCCCCAGTCACGGGCCCACGGCGCGTGAACTGAGGTCCCTGAGGTTCTGGCAAATCTCGATGGAACTACACGGTCATAAGCAGGTCCTATGAAGGCACAGGCAAGGACTGGGAGGAGCCCAGGACTAGGAGTCTGGATCTTAGAAACCCCACAATAAGTGGGATTGCAGTGTCGATTGCTGGTTCAGTACAATGGGATTGCAATCAATGACATAATCAGTCTGTGATTGGTCAGGCATGATAACCCCACCCACCAATTGTTCTCTCATCATTATTTCATTCAATGACAGGTAAACAATTTTTGTATTGTATTGCGCATCATGTATGTGAAATCAGAATCATATTAACTGTTGTGTTGTTCCTTCCAGGCTTTGCATTTGGTAAGTATCCTGATTAGAGGACACATGCTATTTCCCAGGCGTGAGCAGTAGTTGTTGAGTCTGTAATGTAGTTTCGTAGCATGATGACAACAGCGCCCCCTTTGCCTCATCTCTCTGCTGCCCGTGAGGTTCCATGTGGGCCGGCTGCCATTCCCGGGTCTTTGCAGGGGTTGTTACTCAAATAATGTTTCTACACCATTTTCCAAAGGGTCCGGCCACTGAGACGCTCTTGGAATAAGCAATCGGAATACTATAAGGAGTAACGATAATGAACACAAGCAGGAGGCAAAGTGGGCAGATTTATAGTCGCCCTCCCCCACACTGCCACTCTTTGCAAAGACACAGCCCCACGAAACCTCTTACGCTCAACCCAGAAACCTTCCTATGTCCTGACATCGTCCCTCTGTATTACCCCAGGCCTGCCCCTCTGCTTGGGCTCTAATGTCTTGCCCAGTGTCGGGACTCGGCTCGGAGCAGTGGGACACCCCCACGAGCCCTAAGTACCTGCTCATTCTCATCCTATAGGACCAGGTGGCCAAGGACAAGGCCCTCCAGAGCATGGCCACCATGTCCTCTGCCCAGATCATCTCTGCCACTGCCTTCCAGAACAAGATGGCACTGCAGGGGCTGTCAAGGCCCGCCTACCCCACGGCTGGGGTGAGGAGCCGCGGGCACATACACCCCCATGTTTCGCGGTGTGACTCGTGTAGTTACTTAAGTTCTCTTCTAGCGGATGTGGGTATTCTCTGCAGAGGGATGTGCGGGAATGCTTTCATGCTAATGACCAATGATGTGTCTTCCCGTCCTGCAGTTCTGGCACGGACCTCTTCCAGGGCAGCCCGGTCCTGAAGAGTAAGTCGTGCAGTGCGTCTGTATCCGGCTGTCGCTGATATGATGGAATCGAGCCGGAGTTCTAGCCTGTTTCTCTCAAATTGTTTCACTGGCTAAATGAGTGTTGGGGGTCTCCTTTCTAAGGAGTAGCTGGATAAGAAAGCCAAAAAGGCTGAGCCCAAAATCCAGCACAAAATGTACTAAGTAACAGTGTTGGACAAGCTGGCGGCCATGAAAGACACAGATCCATTGTGTTAGCTCATAAGTGACTGTACAACCTTGCATTAAAAGAGGATGAATACAGAATTCACTAAAAGACAGAAAACATATAAAGAATACAGAAAGATACATATGTCCTAGAACAGCATAATGAGTTTGAGGACTACTTCAGACAAGCAAGGTTTCTCTGCAATGTAAATGGTGAATGTCCTTTGTTGACTTATCTTGGCAATCCTGAGGTAGAGCCATGTCCGAAGTCTACTAACGCCAACCCGCGTCTTCCTTGCCTTACCAGCGTCAAGCCCTTTTCCCAACAGAGCTACGCCATCCCGGCCCCCGGCCCGGCCCCCATAACAGGTGCGTCTAGCCTCGTCTAGCCTCTTATCCCGCTCGGACTCAGAGGTGCTCCCGGCTTTCATTCTGGCACTTTCCTCGGTGGTGTTGAAGGCACTTAAAGTGCCAAAACACAGGACCAGGAACGATCAGGGAGTTACGTGCCATTAGATCCCATCTGATTCGGTTTTCCTTCAGCTTTGTCAAACTTCAACGCACGCCATGTGTACATAAGCAATTCCTCCATTCGTTGGTGGTTTATTAGGCCACAGAGTGAAATGAATTCAGCCTGGGCCAAACCAAAAACAGACCACCCCCTTATCTGCAGATGCAGCCTTGTCCTCAGCTGTCCTTCTGTAGCAGTCCAGAAGAGTCCTTGGAAAGCAGATCCCAAACCACGCCTTCGCTAAATGACTTCCCCTCACCAAACTGTGTCTCCCTGACCCCTTTGTACTGCACAAGGTTACGAGAGCACAGCCGGCCTCTCCACGTCAGCCAGCGCCCCACCCTGGCAGGGCCGCAGCATCGCAAGCTCCAAGCTCCGTATGCTGGAGTTCTCCGCCTTCTTGGAGCATCAGCAGGACCCTGAGACCGTAAGGTTCCCCGCAGTCCATCCACACAATGTCCTAGCAGGACTGGAATAGTACCCCCAGTAACTACAGTGCCCCCTCTCTCCACCCAGTACAATAAGCACCTGTTTGTGCACATCGGCCAGTCGAACCCCACTTTCAGCGACCCATACCTGGAGGCGGTGGATATCAGACAGATCTACGACAAGTTCCCCGAGAAGAAGGGTGGACTCAAGGAGCTGTTTGAGAAGGGTCCTGCGGAGGCCTTCTTCCTGGTCAAGTTCTGGGTGAGTGAGTGGGGTGGGGGTGGTGTGTGGTTCTATAAGTTAGGATGCTATGGTTGTGATCAGAAGGTTGCTGATTCACATCTCCGGTTCAGTAGAGTGATCTCTCTGTTGGGCCCTTGTCAAAGGATCCCGTGGATGCTACCAGCCCTGTTGTGCTAGGGGAAGGGTGCTGGTCATTCTTGGGATATTTGCTGGTGTGGGGGGTGCAATGGGTACTGGGGGAGGCCTCAGTTATGCAGGGGGCACTGCGAACTGGTTTAGTCCTTGGACTGGAGAGTGGCAGGGCTGCTCTTTCGGGGGGGAAATCCGAACCCAGGCACCTGTCCCCCCCGCTCTCAGGCTGAACCCATCCCACATGCACACTTATTTATAGATCTCACTCCCACCACTTGTCTTGGGGGGGGGACGCTCGGGGCCACATGGTGTTGAGTCCAGCATTGCAGGCTGGAGCCCCTGCTGGCACCTGCTGATATTTCTGCATTTAATGCGCGTGCCCACGTCAGTCTAAGGCAAACCCTCGTCCGCGTCGCAAATCTTTCGTCTGCAGTGGTGGTGTTGTGGTGGCCGGTGACATGTGTCCACAGTATAGGTCACCTCAGTCTGAAAAGAGGAGACGGAACGTGTGTCAGGCTAAGTTGAGCCGGTGTGGCCCCGACTCGGTGCGCCTTAGCGAGCCGGATTGCTGGCCAGAAGGGTCCCTGCTTCAAATGAGGCAGATAATTCAGCTGAATTGCTTCAGTAAGTGTCAGGATGTCACTGAGGCTAATGGCACCTAAATGAATAAGATGACCACACATAGCTAAGCTCAGGCATTAGCCTTTCCACTGTGCTGAAATCATTTCTTATAAGGCCAAGGTGTAGAAAATCTTGTGACACACAATATCAGAATTTAAAATAAACCGAAGAGGTACCACAGCAGGGCGGGAAGCACTCTTTGGAAGGTGTTCTCCATTGGCCTGTGCTGTGGATTTTGCTCCAATGCACTGGCGCGGCTAAAAGCTACAGTGTAGAATGCGTGTGTGAGGCAGGTCTGCCCTTCGGGGATCCTGAGGCCCAGGTTGGCATGACAACGGTGTCAGACTGCTTGGCGGAGCTCCAAAGCGATGGCGTTCTGGATTGAATTTCCTGGTAGGCCTCGCCGCCTCCGATAGCGGCCCTGCCCGCAGGCCCTGTCCTAACAGATTGTCTCGCGCCTCGGAACTGCCGGGAGAATCTAATTTGAGCGGCGCGCTGTAAATTGTTACACAGCCGCCCTGGCTCTGTGATTCGATTTGGAAATTGCAGGATCTTGATTGTAATTGGATGAATTCCCTTGCAGGCCATTAAAGGCCGGGGGGGGCGGGGTCAGGGAAGGTTAAGGGGATGAGGAGATGAAGACGGATGGGGGTATTAGGCGGGGAGGGGGTTAGGGTGACTGGGAAATAAGTGAAGCCGACTGGCTGCATTAATGGGACATTAAGGAGCAGGGATCGTTGTGGGGGGGGTGGGGCATTTTAGTGCCATCGCATGGCCAACACACCACCTGCACCTGCCTGCTGGGTGGTGGGGAGGGGTCCAATCAGACAAGGGCAGCTTTGATGGCTTAGGTCAGCACTGGTCAGGCATTCTGCAAGGTCCTTGGCTTCTCAGGTAGGGGGCGCCGTGTCAGAAACAGGAACCCGAGCACCAGAACTGCTATCACTGGCACAATCTCAGCTTAACCAAAATCCTACTGGTCATTCTGGATACCTCAGCTAGCCTTGGACATGACCCATGTCCCAGTAGGAAACTGGACAAAGGATCCTAACCACGAATGTTACCAAAGAAAAATATTGTTTTCATATTACATACTTTGTGCTTGTTTTGTTGTAATTCAAGTATAACTTAATATTTGACTATTTTACCATATAAATTCATTTAAAAGCATGCATAATATTATACTTATTATGCAGCGTTTTGATAAAATAAATGATGAATGGGATGCATGCAATTAACCGAAATGCTTTATGTGGAAATTGTGTAAAACTTGCATCGCAACTTGCAAGCAGTAGTCTGTCATTGGGCAAGAGCAACGTAAAAGAACCTTCTGATCTCCTCCCTGGAGGCTGTGAACGAATCCATCCATCCATTCATCCATCTTCTGTTATAATTACGCAGGACTGGGTCACTGTGTTGAAAAACATCACTTCATCCTCTCAGTTTGGATCTTCTGGGTAGGTCACATCAAGCACATCACCATGTAACAAAAATAACCAAAATCTGTGTGTCCCTGCAGGCAGACCTAAGCACCAACCTTCAGGATGACAGCAGCTCCTTCTATGGTGTCTCCAGCCAGTACGAGAGCTCTGAGAACATGATCATCACCTCATCCACCAAAGTGTGCTCCTTCGGCAAGCAGGTGGTGGAGAAGGTGGAGGTGAGGGGAAACGGGTGGACGGCCAGGGAGACGCCTGGGACGCAAGATCCCAGCGTGCTTCATGTTTGGGAGGCTTGATGGACTTTTCCATGCAGTAGATGAGGACACAGGTCATACTCAGGATTCGGATCACATTCCTGAATAATCCCGGCCACTACTAGCCGGTGACAGCTCTCCACGATCTGCAACACGATGCTTAACGCCACTAAACTGGTTGGTTCACACAATAATCCATCTTCATGCCTCCCATTCGTGCAGAATTGTCACCGTTAGCCTGTCAGTCTCGCTCTGAGCTGATGTGTTTTTTTGAGTATGAATCATTTACTTTAAATTCATGAGGTTTGTCTTTGAGGTCTCTTTCCCCGCACTCTGGCTTTCACCCTCGACTTCCTCATGACATTCTCAGCTTGAAAGCTTAACATGATCCAGTGTGATGAATGATGCCTCCTCATTTGTAGAATAAATGCTGGTTTTGCTTCATTCGGAACCTCCGTGGCAGTCACAGCCGTGTCCCCCATCACGCAGACGGAGTACGCCCGCTTTGAGAATGGCCGCTACATCTTCCGCATCCACCGCTCACCGCTGTGCGAGTACATGATCAACTTCATCCACAAGCTGAAGCACCTGCCGGAGAAGTACATGATGAACAGTGTGCTGGAGAACTTCACCATTCTGCAGGTGAGGGTGTCCCAAGCCTGGCCAGGGTCTGCTATGCCGGTCTCTGGTGAGCTCTCATCTTGGATCTGTGTGTGCATACACAGATATGGGATAGGGGCATTTTATTTATATTTGTACTGTTACCCAAAGTAACATGCATTTTTTTGAGAAAGCAGGGTCAGTCAGTCCCTGGAGCAATTGGTGGCTAAGGCCCCAATACTAAATCACTCCTTTGATCATGGGATTCAAACCCATAATCTCCTGATATCAGACTAACAGTATCCTAACCCGCTGACCCACCACCCCCCAGTACCACCTTATTTAATCTAATTTCCAAACTAACTGGGTAAGATGGAGAACTGGGAATTCTGCTGATGAGAAACCACTTGTTCTGATTGGTAAATACCTGCTTCTTTGTCATCCCATACGAGGAATTCCGGAATTAGTCTCCCAAGGTACTCGTCCGAGGCCCAGTGGGGCGAATTCCCAGCACACTGCGAACAATGGATTATAAGCCGCTGAACACGGTGCCGTCAGCTGACCCCAAGCCACGAGAGGCCGATTGACATTTGTTAAAAATGTCCCTTTAATGGCGGTTATCAATTAGCGGCACAGTGACTCCTTATCATAACCTCATGAGCTACAGGCTAAGAGGCTAAGCCGGAATGTCGCAAACATAATCATCACTGAATAGACTGTTATTAGCTGAGTGTCTAGCATCTCTGCCCTCTGTTTCCTTCCTAATCACCAACCTAGTTGTGGTGAGCTTAGGCCTCATGACAGACAATGGCGATGGGAGCAGATGACCCCCCCCGTGTTCTTAATCGGTATCCATTAACTCCGCATGACAGACAGCATCTCTGCCTGGCGTCTTCTGTCAGGCTGGGCCTGTAAGGCCTGATACAAGGGCTTCATTCTGCGATGGAGGAGACAGGGATGGCTGTGTCATGACTCCCCTCGCTTACAGAAACAGAGAAAATATCATGTGCTTCATTGATATATGTACATACAGCATGCACAAGTAAGTACCATAATGACCATTTATAAGCTCATCTTGTTTTCAGTAACTGCTGTAAGTGCTGCTGTTAGAATTCTGAACTTTTTACCAGGCCCGTTATAAACCTGGTGGACTTTGCCCAACACTGCACCCTGTCCTACATCTGTGTCGCATCTGTCGTATTGTTACGCCTGTTGTATTTGTTATTTCTTCAGTAGCGACTATATCTGTTATACTGTGTGAGTACCCCTAGCTCCCCTGTGTGCCAGTGTATATATATATTCTCTATTTTATTTATTAGCTATTATTCTCCTTTTCCTCCCTTATGTGTTACACTTGTGTTGTTTACGTTCTCTGCACTTCATGAATATATACTGCACCACAGTTTCGTTATTCTGTGCCACTGTATGCTGTGGGTTGTATATACTGTAGATAATATGACAATAAAGACCTACTTGACTTTGAGATCCTTATCCTCAGTTCCTGTTAAGTTATCATTTTCGCAAATACTTAATTACACGTATGTAAAATTAATTTTAATGTTGTGTTATCATCTGTGCGTGTGAATGTTACAGGATGCCGTCAGCGGGGGAAGTTGGGCGGAATAAATTGATGGTTTTATGGTCAGGGGTGCGGCCAAGTCAGTATGAGTGCGGTGTTTTCTCTCTGTGCTCTCTGCCCTTTCCTCTCCAGGGAGGAAGTGTGACACGCAGGTGGCGTTCCTGTTTTTCTGTGCTCGGGGCTGGTGGGTAGCTGTGGGGCGATCTGATGCGCGAGTGGTTTTCGTTGTTTTCGTTAACGCTGCCGTCGATCACCCAAGCAGAGCTGCTCACCAGACACTGTCTCTCCTGGCAGGTGGTGACGGACCGGGACACCCTCGAGACCCTGCTGTGCGTCGCCTACGTCTTTGAGGTTTCGGCTAGCGAGCACGGCGCTCAGCACCACATCTACAGACTCGTGAAAGACTGAGGCATTGTGGGAAGAGTGACCCCCCCCCCCCCCCCCCTCCCCTCCCTGGACAGCAAGCAAACCTAGCCCCTATCAGTGCACGCAAAACCTCACTCTCTTACAGGGCTCAGACACATGGCATTGGGTGCGATTTTACCGGAAAGTCAAAGGAAGCCAGAAAATTGGGAACATTTTGTCAAGAAAAGTGAGAATTATGCCTGGATGAAAAAGAGGAACAGGTCTTCATATTTTTTTTTTTTTACCGCAGAAGACAACTGCAAGACATTGCATGGACTGTTATCTTTCATTTAATTTGCTTAGTGCTTGTTTGTTTTAGCTAGTGTCTTTTTACCCAGTTGCATTGCAGCAATACATTGAAGGGAGCTGATGAAAAGGTCCCACCTAGTGGTGATCATTTGCAACTACAGCACTACAGCGGATATTATGATAGGAGGCCTCCCCACCGATTTCGCTACTACGTCCGCTCCCAACCTGGCATCCCAGAACATGCCCGTCTTTTACGTCTGCCAAAAAGGAATCTTTGGATGATGAAGAAAATGTATAACCTTATTTTGGTTGTTTTAAAGATGTAAAATAATATATAACGTTAGTACCATTGAATGAAAAATAAACGTAAATTAAATCATTTTAATTCAGCTGCCATGGATGAGTGTTGTCAATAAATTTCAGTCCATTTCTCATTTTGGGAAAAATGCGGGAAATGGACGTACTGACTGGATAACAAAGTGACTGAATCATACCTATAATCGATGCATAAACATTTACTAGCCTTTTGACTCTTGTATAAAGAAATAATGACTTTACGTGTTTAGCAAGCTACATGCAGTTTGCCGGCATGTTGTGGAAGGATGTTGCCTTCGACATTTTTTAGCATCTCTGGTCAGTAGGTGCATCCTGGCCGTATGCCTTTTAGCCAGATTCTGATTCAGGTTACAGTTTGTCTTTGAATTTCCGTTCTGGTGTGGGGGGTGGGGTCACATCCCCCACAGGGTGAAGTGGTTTGGCATGGCCTTTGGAGGACGAAGTGTGGCCAGCTCTCTGTGCTGGTGTCTGAGCCCTGTGGTGCCACCTTGGGACTTTGATAAGACAGTCTGGACGACAGGTAGGTCTTTCGTCGACAACCAGGGGAAAACCAAGTCAGGAAATACCCACTTTGTTTAAAATTACCCAAGCCCCTATGTGTGAAAACAATAAACAGATATACCAGTGTAGCATATGTGCGGGAGCGTTATCTGATTAGTGATTATATAACTGTGAAGTTGTCTTCATAAGAGGCCTATACGGACTAAAGTGGGTTTTCAGCGCCATCTTGTGGAACTTGCAAGCAAGGACGAAGTGTAGAGCAGTATATTTGCAGATGATTCCCAGACAGTGCAGCATCCTAGTTTGTGTTTAGCTCTATCTATAAATTTCACAGTTTTTCACATTTATATACTGAATATTTTACTAGAACAATTCAGTTTGTATTTTCTTCGAACACATTTCAACCTTAACCACTACACTAAACTGTTATTTATACTTTGTTAAAACTATGCTATTACATGAATGCGGAACTGAAAAACTCCAGTCAATAATCAGATTAATATATGGGACACGCTTATTTGCAATTATGTTACAGAAGCAAGATTTTCTGAGCTCTGATATGGGTTACGGGCATGGCGGCTGGGGTCCAATCTACAGTCTTCTACGTGCGTAAATCCGAAACGCACTTAAGGGTATAATAGCAGGAATAAATGTAGGTTATCTGCTCACCATCCTCCTGCTGCTGGATGGGGTAGCGCGTTTTTACAGATGAATACCGCTTGTAGTTTGTTGTTCTGCCAGCAGTCATCAGTCCCCCTTCCGGACATTTTCATTACAGTGTTTCGTAGACTAAACACCTAATGCTGACCAATTCAGCTTTTGTAATGTCCCTTTCCGTACAGGAAAAGGAGTCTACCGACGTAAGAAGGTTATTTTATTTCTGTTGAACCGCCTTGAAAGCACTGTTGAAAGCGCGTGGACACGTGTAAAGTCCGACTTCTTTGAAGGAAGAAGCACCTTCGAGCGGAAAACAGACTTAACACCAGTCCATTTAACAGGCGCCGAATTTAAGTCTCCATTAATTTAGGTTTCTTGAACATTACGGGCTCGTACAGTATTGCCAGGTCCAGCAAAATTCTCCAGCCCAAGCTCTGCTTAAAATCCGCCCATCAGAAGCAGAAACTAGCCCAATATCTGAAATCCCAGTATACTGCATCTCAAAGAAATGAATCAGTATTTTGCATGCCGAACACATTTAAAAAATCGACATTTTAAAACCACAGCTAAATACAATGACGAACGGAATCTCCTTTCCCAGGGTTGCCAACTTCGTTCGATATCAGTTATTACTTGCAGGGTAACTTTGACCAAGCGCTTAACATTTGATCCTGTGTTTGTGAAGGTCTGGTTTTCCCTACAGTTGCCAACTTTAGTCAGAAATTCTACACAAGCGTGAGTGTCACGCCAGATGCGTGAAAATCGGCAGCCCCGCATCCCAAGTGCGTCTGTCTCTGAGATTCGGTGGCTAGTGGTTCAGTATTACTCAGCATGAGGAGCCACCATTCATAATAATCAATATCTTTTTCTCCTTACAGTCCGCTGCCGCGGTACTTTATGAAAGCAGCCCAAAAATCCGCAACCCGTGACCTCCTAATATTTACTGGCAATTGTACTATCAAAACAGACCACATTTGGCGGGAAAACCGCGGCCCTGACAACTCTCATGGCGCCAGGGGATTTGCTCCCCTTCCCATCATCCCATGCGGTGACCGCCCAGCTGATAAGTGCCCGGCCGTGAGCGAGGTATGAAAGGTGTGAAGGGCTTAGCCAGTCAGTGAGGCGGCGGGGAAATAGAGGGGTAATCGGCTAACTGTCCTCTTAAATATTAATAAGAGCATTCTTCGCATCCCCGGCATGTTTCTTCCTTAGGCCGTCGCTATGGCTCGCGCCACAACACTTGCTCGTTTCATCACAGGCTGAGACACACACAGTTTGTAAGGTAGACAGCATGCAAAGTGTTTTAACCATATGCTTAGCTACATTTATATATATATATATATATATACATATATATATATATATATACACATATACACACACACACACACACACACACACACACACACACATATACACACACACGCTTTTAAAACTGAAATGATTATATAATTTTCCTCAAACATGTCCACGGGGGCAATAGTAAGTAATCTGTATATATTATAGTCACAAGGCAAGTATTTTGAAGATCACGTGGTGTTATTTTGAGCATCTTTAAAACTAACACACACGCGTGTGTTATATTTAGGGGTAGGGGTCATGATCTTTGACCTTTTAACCTGTCATGTCTTCAAATCGGTGTCTCGTCGGTTTCGAGTTTTTGGTTAACTTAAGCCTCGCGTTCGACATTCAGGCTTCCGCTACCGCGGTCGCTGTGGGCAGTTCGCTGGTTTGGGTGGCAAAGTTAATATGCGATGAGTGTGTGAGGAAAATGGAGGAAACTGAAGGGATTATACCGTCGCTTTCATTTACAAGCTACTGAGGGAATCAGACCAGGTCCGAGACACTGAGTAAAGCAGCGATATGGATTTAAAAATCAGGTATGGTTATTAAAAATTATTGGATGAATGAACTCTAGATCTGTGTTTTCCGTGAGCGGTGTAGTAGCATTATAATCCAACGAAATACTAAAAAGGTGTATTTATTTATTTATTCAAGTTATTGGCTTTATTGGTATCGTGTTTTGTGAACCTGTATTTTGCATGAGCGCTGTCGTCGCATTATAACCATGAAATTAATGACTCAAATGACGTATTTCATTTAGGATTTATTGGTATTTTTATTTGTTTGTGTCATGTAACGTTACTTTGACGTTATCACCCAAATACTCCTCTGTTTGGCTAGTAAACAGGGTTAGGATGAGAGGGCAACGCTGAGACCAGCTTCTCTAAAATCTACAGTGTTTCTTACATCTTTTGTAACCTTATGTTTTTTAATGAATGTAAAGTGTATGCCCGTAAATCTAATCGGTTTTTATTAGTTAGTGTATAAGTAATAAAATCTGTGCGTTTGACCATTAATTTCAACACTTTGTAGGACGATAATGGGGAAACAGACCATGAAAAGTACTATACTCGCATACTGTAGAAGAAATGTATACAGAATATAAGAAATTGTGAGGTATTTATTTAAAGAGCTAAGGTTTTTACCCGTATTTATTGCAGACTAACTCTAATGCAAATTAATTCTATGCAAATGGATTAAACTTTGTAAATAAAATTCATAATTATAGGCACGTTAATATACGTCCGTTTCAGTGATGGTTTCTATGGTCACTCCCCCATCCAGATGTGGTTCATGGCAACACGTACTGTATGTGTCACGAGCCGTTTTCATACCTTCTGATGACGCCATATAAAGGCGTCACAGCCCTCTGTGCACCTCCTCGTTCGTGATTTTTTTTAAACTTTGCTGCCCTGCATCCTCACCAGTCAGTCCCCCTTCAGTGTATCCCAGCATGCCTTGCAGTTACCTGGGGGTGAGGTACCAAATCTGGTTATTTCTTACACATGGTCTGTTTGATGCAGTGCAGCTTGAACATAATCTCATCAGTTTTAAAATTGTCATTTTTCGTTTTTTAGGAAATCAAGTTTTGCTGTGTACACAGTTTCGTGTGCGTGCAGTTGGCAAGATTAGCCTGAGTGTGAAGTTTCTGCCTCCCGGGTGTCGATGCTTCACAGGGATGGAAAAAAATGCTCAGTCTTGGCACAGTGACCAGTGTCTTTACGGGAATAGGCCAAGCAGCAGATGATAGGAACCGGACCCTCCTGCAGGTCCCTCGGTGTGGGTGCGGCAACAAGTCGAAGCATCTGTGGCTGACGTGGCGGGGCTTTCGTGCGGCGCGGTCTTTGACTCTCCCTATGGAAACGTGCATGCAACGTTTCCATCGCCGGGGCCTCTGTGTTTTGCTGGCTGAGCTTAATCCTTGTAGTGGAAAAATCCGCCTGCCCATCCATCCTGCTCCGAGTCCAAAAGTCTGGAAATCATGTCTCCTGTTGGACCTGACTTGTAGCTGGCAGAACATATTTCACTTGGTTGCTCAATGCTGTGAATTCGCTCCTTTGCTTCTTTTTATTTTTTGAGAAATGACTCAAAGGGCCACCAATTCAATCTGCCTTTCAGCTCTGGCACGCCAGAAACGTTTGAGGGTGTTTGTCATCTTTTATTTTTTTTGGATACCGGTTTTCAGTAATGAATGAAAATCAGGGTTAAGAGGTGCAGTGCATGAGGCAGAGTACTGGGGGTATAGGGGATCCTCAGACGTATACAGAAACACAAAGGCTAGTAATTTGGCATCAGCCAATCAGGTGAGAATACATAGCTGACTACGCTCAATGCAGATTAATCCTTAGTCTTTTTGATCTATGAAATAAATCACTCTCACAACGCACATTGTCCACCGTCGAATACACGGATTTGCCCATGGGCACCTTTGTTTTGGGTAGGGGATAGTAGGATGGCATGGTGCAGTTCCCACCACAATCATTTCAAAAGGGCACCCCACCTTCCCATTAAAAGCAGTTTCTGGATTTAGTTAACAGCATGATCCTTTATGTTGTGACAAGGCTTTAAAAATAAGGAACATTGTCTGCGATGATCATCACTGCAATACTGCAGGAATCCACATGAGGGCGACTGTAGTTCACCTTGGCAGTTTCTGCTGGACATCTTGCCAAACAAGAAAAGGACTTTATTATGATTTGCTCGAGAGGATGACATGGCCGTGGCAGCTGCAGCACTGTATGTTGTTTTTGGAGTATCCCACAGTGCAAATAACTAATACATTACTATAAACATCGTAGCCTGATTATGGTGCATGCGGCAGGCAAGAAACATCGGCAGGTTGTTACGTGGTTAGCGCCGAGTGCGTGTATGAATAAATCATTTCTCCATGCTACCACGCCATGGAAATTCGTTAATCCTGTATATTCCAGTACAGCCTTCCTCTTCTAGGGCTTTATTTAGGTTGAATGCCAGATGAAAGACTTTGTTTAATGGTTTTCCACAAATGTAACTGTTGGAAGCAGCAGGTTTTATTCAGCTTCCAGTTAGGAGCCAAACCTGACTGTTTTTGCTTTTTCTGCCTGAAGACCAGGTTGTTGAACAAAAGCCTGGAGAAAAGGAGTGGTTTATAAAACACTTATTGCTGACTGGGAGTTATTTCTCTCCATGGAAAAACACCCATTAGTTTTAATTGTTATTGTTGAAGGGTTTCTGTAGGGACATGGTCAGTGGTGTGGGATCAAAGCTGGTGGATTTTTGCTCTTTCTCTGGTGTTTACTGTACATAAGTGGCCACTGAACAGTGGGGAATTAGGGTTTTTAAAGCTGCCCGCGAAGTGCAGAAGTGTTGCCCATACCTGGAGGTGGGTGATGGTTGTCCTTCAGAGTTGCAATGCGGCTGCCTAATAGTTTTAGGGCTGTCCCTTAACTGCGCGGAGAAACGTGCTACACTGCGCGGAGAAACGTGCTACACTGCGCAGAGAAACGTGCTACACTGCGCGGAGAAACGTGCTACACTGCGCGGAGAAACGTGCTACACTGCGCGGAGAAACGTGCTACACTGCGCGGAGAAACGTGCTACACTGCGCAGAGAAACGTGCTACTCTCCAGGACCTCAGGAGACCCATTTCAAGGGCGTACCTCTCAGTACCTATAAAACCATCACTATCCATCCTGCTTAACAGTCCTGGGTGATTGACATGAATGCCAGTATTAGTACAGCCTGGCTTTCCATCTTCCAGCACATGGTGTATGGTGCAGACTTGCGGTGTGGGTCAGGTGCAAAAAGGGTTCGGGTTACACTGGCTGCTTGCAAGCATGACTGGTGTGGTCATATGGGATTTAACGGGAGAGGAGCTGCATATGGCAGGGGGTGTGAGCCAGGCCTCACCCATCAGACCGCAGACCAGTCTGGGATAGAACAAAAAAAACCTTCTGGAAGTGTGGTGTTAAGGAAAAGTGATGTCAGCAGTCGGCAAAACCTCTGAAGGTCCACAATGTGCACAATGTGTTTCTTTTTTTGTTTAAACCTTGACCCTATCTGCACGTGCCGTCAGACGGTAATAGATTAGCAGCAGAAGGGGGGAAAGGCTCTAAGAATGAGAAGAATTACTTCTGTCTCCTGTGCTGCAGGGTTTGGGCAGAGAGGGTAGCTGGAGAGGAATTAAGCCCCAGCCGTCGGGGCATCTCGCTGCCAAGGGGGCGCGTTGCATAGTCTGCCAAGTACGTGCAGGAATCCTGGAGGGGGGGGGGGCGACACCGGCTTGCCGTGAAGCTGTGGAAGTACCGTCAGTGAGCCGGTGACGTTGATGGAAGCTGCTGGATCGTTAGGAACTGCTGCCAAAGCTTCTGTTTGTGTGCCCATCTTTGGAGATGATGTCCATCCTGGGTTCATGGATGGCTTGTCTTTCCTCCCACTTGTCATCTTAGTTCGGTTGACACAGATCTGGTCAAATTAAATTTGTGCTATGGGGCTGTTTTGTGATCGGCACATTTTCCCAGCAATATTCTCGAGTTCTCTGATCGTCCAGATTAATGTTTAGGGCAGGCAAGTCTGTCTACCAGTCTTCCAGGCTTGCAGAACAGTTCTGGTGCTGTCCATTGGGCCCAGGAGAAAGATTGTGTGCATCAAGTATCAGATTTGCATTGCTTATAAATTTATATTTTAATTTATGCACTCCATTTATGCACATTATTTTACAGTATTAATTGTTACTTGCTGTATAGCAACTCTTTCATTCAAAACGACTCTTTCATTTTCAAATGCATGTATTAGGTCTTATTAATTAATGGCATCTATTATAGAATCATTCAAGATCTGTTGAGTATGACTGAGGATTTAACTAGGATTTCATACTGCTTACTGGGAGTTAAGGCTGTGGTGTTTCAGTTCCTTAACCAGTTCAGCCACAGTCCATGTGAGTTTGGGGTCCAGTCGCAAACGCGTGGCAATATTTGTCATTCGTCAGGGTATAGAAAAAGCTGAAGTGAGCCTTTGTCACAGTGTGGTTGAAACAGTTTTAATATCCTGTTGTGTTATCTGTTTGCTCAAGGAAGACCTGTTCTAAGATAGCTGGCAAGAAGCCCAGGATGGATTATATCTGATTAGAGTCTGTGTCCAGTTTAGGGTGTGAAAAGACTGCTTTGTTTCACTATAGCTGTTCAGGCTTGTTTGTTGGGAGGCTTTGCATTTTTCTGACCTGAAACTGTCAGTCAGGAAACTGAGAAATGTGCCGTTTTTTTCTTCTTCTTCTTCAAGTAGTTTCTTCCCTGTAACTCTGTGCTCTTCCTGTGGACCTGTGACCACAGAGGAATATGACCCGTAGAAGTTGTATGTGGGGTGGCATGGTGCTTCAGTGGTTTGAACTGTTGCCTCCCACCTCTGGGACCCAGGTTCGAGTCTCTGCCTGGGTTCCATGTATGTGGAGTTTGCATGTTCTTCCTGTGTCGTCATGGGGTTTCCTTCGGATACTCTGGTTCCCTTCCCTCACAGTCCAAAAACATGCTGTTACCAAATTGCCTGTAGGTACTGTATGTGT